AGTTTCAAAAATAAAATTGGGGGGACTGTTGAAAGAATTTATAAAAAAAAAGGATTGGAAAAAATATAGTAAGAAGAGAAGAACAGAAGATTAAGAAAGATATCTTCCTGTGGATTTTGAAATTGGCATCGGGCAAATATGTGTCTTAATGGTATTAAGAGATTTTTAAAATGTTTAACATAAGGTTATTTTATTTTAAAAGATATATGAGATAAATTGTATAAGCTTTTAAGATGCTTAACCCTTTGAAGTGAAGAGGATTAATGTTAAATTCAGAATTTTATTGCAAAATGATAATTAGTTTTGGATAGTAAAGGGCTGCTCTCTAAAAAGTTAGAGGTATTAAGACGGTTAATAGAAAATTTGAAAGACATCCTCCTGTAGATTTTGAAATTTATATTTGGTAAATAAGTGTTTCAAAGGTATTAAGAGATTTTTAAAATGTTTAACATAAGACTATATTATTTTAAAAGATACATGAGATAAAATGTGTAAGATTTTAAGATGATTTTTTTTTCTTTTTTCTTTTTCTCTCTTTGAAGGAAAGAGGATTAATGTTAAACTCAGAATTTCACTAGGGAGTAATGTTCAAAAAGAATGATGTTCGAGGGTATAGAAATGGAATTTATTCATGATTTTTACTGTTTGTAAGACTGCTAAAGTATCGGATTATACATCAAGAAAAAGTTTTTTTGTTTTTTTTATAAGTAGGAAGAATGAAGTTAATTTAATTGGTTTTGAGAATTTACAAAAGGGAGGTTGATGAATTGGAGCAAAGGGAGTTAAAGAACATGTGGGAGTTTTGAACTTTATAATTTGTTAGTTTATTTTAGCATATGTTTGTTAGATGCTATACCCTGTTTTTGCTCTGGGAAGTCAGGGTGGGGTGGGGAGGGTGGGACAAGGGATGGGGGGGGGGAAAGTGGTGAATAGAGAAATGTTTTAGCAGAAGAAAATATCCATGAGTAGAATACAGGAGTTGCTCAGACACTAAAGGAGGAAAATATTTCACAGCAAAGAAGTTAGAAAGGAGAGAGGAGGAGAGGGTAGGAAGAGGAGAGGGAGGGAGATGAATGGAAGAAAGGAGAGGAGGAAGGGAAGGGAAGAGGACAGGAGTAGGAGTGAAGGTGAGAAGGGGGAAAAGAAGAGAGAAGTGGGGGAAAGGGAAAGGAAGTAGGATGAGGTGGGAGAGGAGGCAGGAGAAAGTAGAAGAGAAGAGGAGGGAGGGAAGGAAGGGAAAGAAAGGAGGAGAAGAAGGTTTGTTGTGGAATGAGGGAAGAAAGAGAAGAAGAGCAACTCCGAATGTAATTAAAATGTCTTATTTTAATGCTTTCTTTAAGGGAAACATGCATATGTAGGATTTCTTATGTATAAGAAAATGTACAATTTCTATTATGTGGGGAAGGGGAAAGGGTGGGGGGAGAAAATTGTTTGTATTTCTTATAAAACTTTTCAATTAAAAAAAAAAACGGCATTGTAAATTATTTTGGTATATTGTCCAAATCCAAAATTGCTATTTTGGTTTCCAAGAACTAGATTTCTTTTTAAGGTTTATCATAGATGACACATCCCAATTTATAGAAAGTTATAGTAAATCACAAAATGTAGTGCATGCAACTAGAGATGGGGAAATTTTTATACTCTTTAGCTTAGTATGTTGTGTGAACACAATAAAAAATCTGATCAAGAATAATATTTGCAGCTCAGGGTTGAACTATGGGGTCCTTGTTACTCTCTTACCTTAGTTGGTTTCTTGTAGATGTTTCATTATTTAAATGAGGTAACACCATCAGTGCTAGTAAGGATTGGGATTTGTTCTCAGTGTACACCCTTGTGGCTTGCCCTGTCAGTATCAGGTTCTTACAAGTTCTTTGATTGGACTGTTAAGTGTTAGCTTCTTGGATGGTTGGTCTGATATTAGTGCTCATCTGGGTGTTGATTGCTGATGGAAAATGTTTTGGTATTTTTGTTTCATTTTTAGCTTCTTCATTGACTTTTCTGCACAGTATGTACCGTATTTTTCAGAGTATAAGATGCATCTTTTTCCCCCCTAAAAGGGGGTGAAAATTTAGGTGCGTCTTACACACCAAATGTAGCCCTGCCCACCCACTGCCCCCCACCCTTTGGCCTGTGTCTCGCAGCAGTTACCTCCTTGCAAACAAACAGCAAGAAAAAATAGCTCCTTTCAGCTTCAGCATAAGCTAATTAGCACAAGTTGATTAGATTGGCCTCCCGACTCTCAGCTGATTTGTTCGCAGCTGTTTTGCACAGGGCTCTGCTGCTTGCTGCAAAGAGTGCTGGAGCAGATTTTTTTTCCCCTTGTGCTAATCAAGCTATGTTGAAAACAAAACTGAAAGTAAAGCAGGCTGTTTGCTGCAAGGAAAAATTATGCAGAGGCAGAGGGAGATTTCTTTTTCTTCTTTTTCCTCATTAAAAAAGGTAGGTGCAAACAATGGGAAATTTAGGGCAAAAGAGGAGAGTTCAAGATTTTAAAACACAAAAGAAAAAAAGGAGAAAGAAAAAAGCAAAAATAAAAATGGGAATGGAGAAAATGAAATGAAAGAGAAATGTTATACATATTTAGAATTGAAATATGAATAGTAGTAAGAAATAAATGGGAAATCATGATTGTAAAAATGAAATGAATAAGAATTGGAATATTTGTCTTTGTATTTTTGAAATCTAGACAATGATAAGTTTTTTTATTATTTTTTTAGAAATAGGAATAAGTATAAACTATAACAATTGAAATACCTTTAATGGTATATGGTGGTGAAAGTAAAAAGGATTAAGTTGTAGCTTGGATAACAACTAGAACATTTTTAAATTCAGTTAGGGAAATTGTAACGATTGAAATATTTTTAATTATATATTGTGATGAAAGTAGAAATGATTAAGTTGCGATTTGGAGGATTATATGGGCAAAACTATTTGGGTTATTGGGAGAGTTTAAGATGTGAAAATGAGTAACATAAGGGGAAAGCTCTGTTTAACTAGGGAATTGTAATAATTGAGATACTATTAATTGTATATTGTGTTGGAAGCAGAAATGGATAAGTTGTGGTTTGGAGAAATATATGGGGAAAATTATTTGGTTTATTATTATTGGTAAAATAATTAATTGATTTGTAAGAAATTGGATTGCATTGGAATATTCATGTTCATATTGATTAATATACAAAAAAGATAGTTATATAACTAATTGATTTATATTAAAATGTTGAATTTGTATTAAACAATTGTAATATTATATAATTAACCAATGTGAGGATGGATATAAAAATAGATGACAATGGGAAGGGGTATAATATAGAAGGGAAAATTGAATTTGAATAAGATTAGAGATGAGGATGAAGGGTAATATTGGTTTTTTAAAAAATAGATGAGGAATAAATATGGCAAAAAGGAAATATAGAAATTGTAAATTTAATGGAATGAGTAAACACTGTTTAAATTTGTGAACCAGCAAAATACTCTGTTCAAAGAAAATACACTGTTTGTTTGTATGTCTAAAAAATAAAAACTTTTTATAGAAAAAACAAAACAAAAAAAGTAGGTGCGTCGTATACTCTGATGCATCTTATACTCCGAAAAATATGGTAGATATTGTTTATGTCTATGTATCTATTGATAGCCAATTTGACAGAATGCCAAACTTCCAGGAATTCCCTAGCATTTTTTGACTTGGCTTGGTTTAGGATGGTCACAGATTCCCAGTAGAAATTAAGGTTAAATCTGTCCATATGTTGCGAAATGAAAGAGTTTTCAACATATTTTCTAACTGCTATCAATAAATATCAGCACAGCATGGTAAAACGCAAGGAACAGTTGGAATAGACCATTACACCAAAGCACATCGAGAGGCTGGCCACTACTATCATGAGTACTTCCCAGAGACATGCCAGAAAAAGGAAAACAAAATTTTAGGCTAGCTGAAAAAAGTTCAGTTCCGGAATCTAATTTTTAATATCAAGGTGGAGCTTTTTCAGCAAGCCCCCAGGAATTAACCAGGTGGCAGCAACTTGCAACCTTTCTTACTGGTTTCACTGTTGACTTTCTAAACAAGTGAGCAAAGGAAATTTCAAATGATAATCACATGATTGTGAGGCACTTGGCAACCCATTGTTACATGCAAATGAGGTACCAAACATCGAGATCACAGTCACATGACTGCAGGAATATTGCAATTGCTGTATGTTTGGGCAGGGGTCATACTGTAAGTCCCTTTATTCAGCACACTGTAATACTGAACAGTCACTGAATGAATGGTTGTAAATCAAGGACCACCTGTAGTACATCTTGACTGTTTTCTGTCTAATATATCTGGAAAGGCTGTCTGATATATCTAGAAAATCAATAGGGAAGCCAGCAGGGAAAGTCGCAAGTCTTTCCCATTTGCACACTTTCCCCTAACCACCCATATTTATGCCATACCAACCACTCATGCACCCCATGCACACACTATTCAGCTGCTGACCTATTCAGCACCTCTCATGCACCTTCTTTATCTGCATAGAGCTTTTTATATATGCTCACTTATCTGAGTATCCCTTCACAGACCCATTCATGCCCGCCACCCGCTCCACAACCTGCGGAATACCCCTCACACTCCTTGCACTCCTAAATGCCCTCCCTAATCGAAGTGGCACCTCTCATACATAATCCCCAACCTGCAAAGTGGCCCTCATACACCCACTCACATTCTCCCTCATCCAATAGCAGTTACTTACCTCTCTGAGGGCTTGGGACTTACAACTTCCTGTTAGCTTCCCAACTTACTTTGGTTGTAGGAAGCTGTCTCACCTAACAATCATAGGATTCAGCTAACAATAGTAACTGAAACTGCAGGGAGCAATTGATCACACTTTATCATCATATCACTTAGAAACAGAAATTTGGTTCCCAATTCCTATGATAAATCAAGAATTATGTAATATTATCATGATCTGAATCATGATATTACATATTATCTGAATCTATATTATTTTATTAATACTAACCACTTCCTCCTTCACCCTTGTTAATTCCTGTTGAAGGATCACACATTCTTCTTCATTTGCCTTTTCAACAGCTTTCATTTTTTCATCCATTTCTGCTTGCACTTTCCTGTGGGCTTCTTCAGCCAACTGAGCTGCACTTAAAGCCTTCTCTAGCTGTTCAAATGCTATAGAAAAAAAACATACAACAAATATTAAATATTAATATTATATAAATTTAGATTGTGGAAATTCAGGCTAAAATTAAAATCAAATATTATGTTTTCATTGAATTACTAAATTATGTTTTTAAAAGAAGCTCCAGGTTCTGCAATATACTTAGTATCCATTTTTTAATCTTCTAAACCAGGGGTATCAAACTCAAGGCCCAATGTGATTATATTTGGCCCGCGGAGCCGCCTTAGAAACAGCCAACAGACCCATGGTGCCTTGGACTGGCCCAGGTCGATCAGGCACTGATCTACAATCTAGTGGCAGCCATCCAGGCTGGAACGCAGTCGGCCCTACATCTGTGCTGCCCTAGAGCCAGCGAGAGGCCGCCCCGATCCTGCCCCCTGGGCGCGCACAGAGGATATGGTGAGCATGCGTGGGGCCTGGCTGACTGTGTTCTGTGTGCTTCCCTTTTTGCCAGGATGCAAGTGCTCATTGCCTCCTGTGCACACACCCAAGGGGGGGGGGGCGAGGCAGCAGGGTCGGATCTAAGCTTGACCATGTGCCAGGTCGGATGGCCACTCTTCCTCCTTCTCTGAGTTTTTTCCAAGTTCTGGCATGTGTGTGCATTTAAGTTTTTAATTCCCAGATCTTGGAATAGTGGACGCTAGAAATTCACGGCTGGCAACGAGCGCTGGCTGATTGCTGCTGGAATTTGGCAGAAAGAAGGGGGGAAGTGTCTGAATGTGGTTTTATTTTATTTTTCTAGGAAGGAGATTATAATGAGAGGGAGTAAGGGTCTGAGGAAAGTTCTGCCTTAGCACTTGGCCACCAGTAGCCCTGCTGCCCTTTTACCATCCCCAGACTCCTCCTCTTGACCTCTCCTGGTGTCTCCCATCCTATCATTGAGGATACTTTGGTTACAAAGCTGTGTCTCCTTGCGAGGAGAGGGAATAGGCCTCTCTCTGGTTTGTGTGTTTTAAAGAAAATATTTTAAATTTCTAGATTTTTATGATGTTTACAGGACATGGCCATTGTTTCTATCTATATCTTTTTCTGCAAGCTTGTATTCTCCATGCGTCTCCTTGTAACTGTCAGGTGTGCCTCCATTCAAAACTCAAGAAAGAAAAACCCCAACTCCATGTTTGTAGAGAAAGGTACTTTTACTGAGCATGAACTGATAGCAGTGAAAAGAAAGCAAGATCTGAGACAAAAGGCGCGAAAATTACATATTGAAAATATTCCCAAATCCCTCCCCTCAAGGACTCTGGCTGAATGTCCAATCCCCAGCTCCCCAAGGTGTCATGTGAGGTGCATCTTCAGATGGCCCCATCCATCTGGTATGCCAGAATGGTTGACCTTGACTGGCTATCAACAAGTCCATTCAGCTGCACAGAAGATGATGAGAGTCTTCCTCCATTTTTGGTCACATCACGAGACATCTCTACCAGCTCGTTTCCCCCACCCAAATACCCATACATCCTCCTCCCCCAGTTACTATGGCAACCGATAGCAAGCAAGCAAGCATCATAGAGGCTGACATTCAGCCCTCCTGCAGAAGAGATGTTAGTCCTAAGAAAGAAAGTAAAATGGATAGGGTAGATATCTCCCAAAAGTATCAAAACATAGAAAATACATATAGAATAATACAATCAAGGCTTATCAGGGTATTTGGAGTGGAATAACTATAAAAGCTTCGGAGCTCTGACATCTCGCTCATTCACCCATTCAGACTGAAAAGAAGGGAAATGTTTCCAGGCCACCAAACACTGTACTTTCCCCCTAAGTTTTCTAGAATCAAGGATCTCTTTGACCTCGAAATGTTGTTTTCTTTCGATGAGGAGGGAAACTGGTTGAACATTAGGATACATACACAATAATTTCTTAGGATCTAAATGCCACCTATAAAACATTTTATAAAAATTTTCCCTCAAGTTCTGCAACTGTGTAAATTTAACATTCTGAACCCATATTTTTTCCCATGTTTCCAACATCACTGGTTCTGCAAAATTTTGTGCCCACTTTATCATACAATCTTTAACCAATTCATTTTCCGAGTCCCTTTCTAGCAATACATTATAGACCCTTTTAATATGCATTGGACCTTTTCTTTTATGTGTCTAACCAATTCTTCTTCATGCATCATTATACCAATTTTTTGGTCCTCTTTCCATCTCAATGAAGTTGATTATACTGTAACCAAGTTAAATTAATCCCTTCTTCCAACAGTGTTTCTAATGTCTTTAGTTGCCATCTGCCCCCATCCATAAAAAGAACTTCTTTGTATAACCCCCCCCCCCCGAGTGACATTATATTTGTATTCCACATGATATGACCAAGATCTAGCCATAACGGTATTTTATAATCCCATTTGAATCGGTGCTTCTTCCAAACTCTCATCAAAGAGTTTCTAAGTATGTGGCTTTTGAATACTTTATCCACTTTATTCTCAAAAAATAAGTATGCATGCCAACCAAATTCAAGATCATAACTTTCTATATTCAATATTCCAGTTTTTTTCCTTCCAAACCAGTCACTTGCTTGCGTCAAGGCTGCTGCTTCATAGTATAATTGTAGGTTTGGAAGTTTAAGGCCTCCCCTTTCTGGAACATCTTGCATAATTTTCAGCTTAACTCTCGGCTTTTTCTCATTCCATACAAACTTATTCACTCCACTTTGCCATTCTCTCAGTTGTTTATCACTTTTAAGCACCGGAATCATTTGAAACAAAAAAAGAAATCTTGGCCAAAAGTTCATCTTAACTGCTGCTATTCTTCCAAGTAAAGACAACTGCAGCTTTTTCCAAGTCTCCATGTCTTTTTGTACCTCTCGCCACAACACCTCATAATTATTTTGAAACAATTTTATATTTAAATCTGCAACTTGCACTCCTAAATATTTAAACTTTGATACTATTTCAAAGCCTGCCTTTCTTTCAAGTTCCTGCTTTCGATCTTGTGTCATGTTTTTAACTATCATCTTAGTTTTTTCCTGGTTCAGTCTAAATCCTGATACTATACCATATTCTTCTATAATGTCTTTCATCTGGATTATTGATTCCATCGGCTGTGTTAGGGTAACAACCAGATCATCTGCAAATGCCCTAGTCCTGTAATCTTCATGCCTTATAACTATGCCATTTAAAGAATCTGAGTCCCGTATTGTGTTCAACAAGACTTCTAATGTTAAAATAAATAACAATGGGGATAACGGACAACCTTGTCTTGTTCCTTTTTCAATACTAAAATTGGTAGTCAAACTTCCATTAATAATAATTTGTGCCATTTGTTCTTGATAAATTGCTGAAACCGCCTGTGTAAACTGATCCCCAAAGTCCATTTTTCTTAAAGTCTTTAGTAGAAAGTTCCAATCAACTCTATCAAAGGCCTTCTCCGCATCCAAAAAAACCAGCACTGCAGGGATCTGTTTATTCTTCTCAAGATATTCCAATAAATCTACAATTTGCCTTACATTATCCTTCATATATCTGCCTTCTATAAATCCCGCTTGATCATAATGAATCACCTCTTGAATAACTGGCATTAACCTGTTGGCTAGTACTTTTGCAAATATTTTGTAATCATTATTCAGAAGAGATATTGGTCTAAAATTCTCAGGTTTTTTAGGACCTGCTTGCTCTTTCGGTATCAATTAAATATAAGCTGCTTTCCATGAAGGGGGTATTTTGCCCCCTTGTTGTATACTACAAAATAGATCTTTAAGATGTTCAATCATTTCAGCTTGTAAAGTTTTATAATACACCGCAGTTAGACCATCCGTCCCTGGTGCTTTAGCTGTTTTCAATTGTTTAATTGCGGCAATAATCTCCTCAGCTGTTATAGGATGATTCATTCTCTCCTTTTGTTCACTAGAAATTTTTGTAACTCTTCTTTTTTCTAAAAATTTCTCTATAAGTCCATTCTGTATATCATCTTTGGCATATAATTTGGTATAATAATCTAAAAAAGCTTCTTTAATTAATTTTTGTTGAGAAATTTCCTTCCCTCCACTCTCAATACTATCAATGACTCATGTACTCTGCCGCTTCCTTAGTGTATAAGCCAACCATCTGCCCGGTTTATTAGCGTTACAAAATGTATTATGTTTCGCAAATTGTAAATTTGTTGCTGTTTGTTCCGCCATAAGCATATGAAATTGATCTTTCAGGAGTTTTATAGCTCCTCGTATTCTTTCATCTGTTGGAGTTTTTATAAGTAACTGTTCTTTGTTCTTTATTTCTGCTTCCATTTCAGATCTTTTCTTTTGTCGGTTTAATTTATGTTTAGAGTTCATATAAATGAGTACCCCTCTCATATATGCCTTACTCGCATCCCACACAATTTCGATAGGGGTACCCTTGTTCAAGTTCATTTCAAAAAATTCTTTCATCTGCTTTTTAAGTTCAGCTACATTCTTTTCATATCTAAACAAATTTTCATTTACTCTCCATGATCTTCTCTCACTCTTTCCCATCTCAATTTCTATCCATACCGGGCTATGGTCAGTTAAAGTCCTTGGAAAAATCTTTGTTCTTTTCGTTTTTACGAAGTAAATCAGATGATAGTAAAATAAAGTCAATCCTAGAGAAGGATCTGTGTCTATCTGAGAAAAATGTAAAATCCAAATCTTTTGGGTTATGTATTCTCCAAATATCTTTTAATTCCAAATCTTCTTTCATATCAAAAAAAGTATGTGGTAATCTAATCCTTGACTTTGCCAAACTCTTTTTGTCTATTTTAGGATCAATTACTGCATTCCAATCTCCCATGATTAAAATAGATCTATAATCCCATTGCAATATTTTAGAATGCAAAATTTTGTAAAAATTTTCTTGTTGTTGATTAGGAGCATAAATTCCAATCACCAGAATTGGGCCATTTGCTGTATAGAGTTCAATTGCTATAAACCTGCCACAATCATCTGCTTCTATAATTTTAGCTGACAGTCTTTTATTTATATAAATCACTACGCCATTCTTTTTTTCCAAATTCGAGGCTATAAATTGTGTTCCTAATCT